TCTGTACAGCAAACTCCAAGTGGCAGAAATACAGGTAATGGTACTCCGTCCTCTTCCAAAGATCTGCCTGCCCGGTAAGTGTCCTCTGCTGGGAGGGAACAAGTTCACATTCAAAACACCTACCAAAAGAGGGACCGAAAATGCACTTCACACTGTGCAGTTTATTTCATTTATCTCATCTGAGCTCTTCTGGCAAAGACAGCAATAAGCAAGGATGTGTTGCTTAACACAGCACAAACAATATATGTACTAGCAAAATGTCATGTTACTCCTTGGAGATCATAGAAGATGACCACCTATGAAATGCCCTTAGGTCTTCCTTCAACTGATAACTGGAAGGAAAAAAAAAAAGGAAGAAAACAGTGTTTAATTCAAGTTCCAAGTGCAGAGATTTATCTTCATGGGAAGACAAACACCATGTAAATGTGTTTTGGTCTCTTGTCCTTTATAAAAAAAAAATAGGATTCATACAGGGTGATAGTCACCCTGCTTAATCCAGATTCTACTTAGGCTGCTATTTTCTGCTGGAAGATACCCTTTAGCACCACCTCCCATTAACAGTGAAACACTAGACACAACACTAGATGTAATTTGCATGTCCAAATTACAAAGGATGAATCTAAGCCAGATGCACTGTGTGCATTTAAAAAGGAATTACTTGGATTGTATCTTTGGGAATTTCCATCTAGAAGGTTACAGATCCAGGTGAAGACATTTGGGTAATCAAGCAAATGCGCTGTCTGGGTCTAAAGATCTGAGGGTATAGAGAAATAAATAATTTTTTAAAGAAAAAATTTATAAAGAGGGAGCTTGATTATGTTTCTCTATGACACCAGGCATAGTATCACAATCCCTTTATAGTTAAATTTATTGAAATTATTTCTAAGTACACATATCAATTCACACTATTCATAACTACCATCCTCATTATGTGATATACATCAAACAAACAGAAGGCATTTCCATTAACTAATAAAATAGAACAGTTGTGTGAGCACAGAACATAAAAATCAGAATGCAAAATAAGGCAAGCATGAAAAAAGCACTAGGCTTAGTAGTCTTTTACTAGACAAACAGATTTTGCTGTCAAGTTTCAGAGGGAAACTTTTAGCAAACATATTGCAAAAGAGAAAAACAAAATTAACTATGGTAAACAAAGTCTTCCTTCAAGGCACTGTTAACTTTTAATGTCAATCTGAAAATAATTCAGCAAGTCAGTCAATAGAAATATTTTAAGTAATAAAAAGCCCCAAAATATCTTTGGTTAAATATAAAGCTGAATGCAAAACCAAAGCAGAAAAAGTTTCTGGAAGGAAGTAATTTTGGGTATGACACAACAAACACTATACAACTACACAAATTAACTCAATTGCCAACAGTACATTGTGACAAATCAAGATCTTCCATTAGAAGCTGTAAAGTTTGAAACTTGGTAGTTTATTTTTTCACAAAGTATACATGTATGCACATGTCATAATTATGTATGCACATTCTAGCATAATGAAGTAGCAAGACTACAAAACTGTTAAACTAGCAGAGAAGTATTTTCTAAGCATGGAACTTCTAGTTCTCTTATGAGACATCTCATTTAGCTTTGTGCTATCATCTGTCCAAGTGTTCAGCAATGGCAGATTGTTTTCAGCTGCTATACAAAACTTCCTACACAGTCTCAGTGGTACAATTGAAAACATGTTTTCTCTTGCATTCCGTGTTCCCTGTACATGACTAATTTTAAGTCACCTCAGCTTCTGTTGTCTGTCCCTCAGGACCCCTACAAAACAATAAAATGCAGTTCCTTCTCATGTCCCTAAAACGTTCTCATCTTGTTGCTCCCTCACTATCTGCACCTTGCTATTTCAGGGGAGCTTCCAGCTAGAACTGAACCATGATGCAGCTAATCGTGGTCAGACAACACGTGCTGGGTAGCTCAACACTTAAAGAGTGCCACACATCTCAAAAACCACCCCTGCCCTTAAGGTACCGATCAGTTTCTTTTCAATTTTCATTGCTCAGCAATCAACTGTTCAAAGGTTCTGAGGCACAATTTAAAGGACTATAAACCTCACTTCTTCTGGCTGAAAAAGAGTTAAAGGCACATGGATGCTGATTCTAGCAGCAGCATCAGTACATATGAGTTGTCACTCTCTTCCCCAGAATTACATGAGTTGAAGGACCCACAGCTAACCAATTCTGCTGAACAACTGCAGGGTAATGCTTAGGTATGCTTCCATACTAAAGAAATATTAATGTAGTTCTGTTTGAACCCCATCTTCACTAGGAATTTAGTCTCACAGCTGCTTGTGTCTACTTTGGACCTAAGGGCAGGAAGAATCTGCAGTGCAGCAGCTTGAAGTTTTAGGAAACAGCCCTCCAGGATTCTTTTGCAGATTTCAACCTTTTCCACTATGAAACTGGTAAGGCTTTTGCTGGTCTAAAATCCAGTAAAATATCCCCTCTTGCAAGAAAAGGTTTTAATCTGGGAAGACAAAATTTGTCAAACAGTTATAGTTAAGATCCGGTCTACCAATGTAAGTCTGTTGTTAATGTTTTGTTATTAAAACTAATTTTGTGGATCATTACACTTAGCTCCAACTGGTGTTTGAAAGAAATTTCACAATTGTTTTGGATCTTATTTGGAAAGATTTGGTATCTCCAGCTTGAATGAAATGAAAAATAATAAATCACTGGCTAGAGTTTTAAGGTTTTCTTAAAGTTACAAATTTTTGTTCTATTCAATGCCAAGATCATAAAGCAAGTACAGTAGGAATGTTTTGAACATACACAACACATGCTTCCCAAAAGATAAACTTCAAGATTTCCAGAGCTTGTGGTACTTAGAGCAAGAAAAGCCGAGTTTATGCCTTTGAAGTTGACCATTAATTATGACAATTACTTAATATTTACCATTTAGTATCATTTGTTCTTACTCTCCATAGGGCAGCCCAAAAGGGTTTTAAACCTAGGAGAACATGCATAGAATAAAACCTCTTATAATCATGAAAAACTACTAATCAACCTAAAAATAAACACCAAACCCCTCAGAAAAAGCAAGCAGAACATGCTAGAGGCAGGTCAAGGCAAAGCTATAGCTTTAGCAGCCAGTCTGACCAAGCTTATATAGCCCTTAAAGATCTAAGATGTGCTGCTTCTAAAATCCATGCTTAATCCAGGTTTTCCCTGCTAATGCTAAAAAACTATCCATCTGTATAACTTGCCTATGTTAGCCAAGACTTTACACTCCAACTGCAAGATCAGGTAGGAATGTTATATGAAGGCAGAAAGATTGTTAATATTTCTCATTAACTGGCAGGTTTTTTTCCAGATAGCATCTAGCCTCATTTCCATTGCAAAATATATTAATGCTGCTTTATTCAGAATGTAATTCTTAGCTCTCTAAGAATAACTTTATTACTATTTAACTGCCTACAGTAAACAAATTACTACAAACTCTAAAATATGGCAAAAATTTACAAACATTTAAAGAAGAAAACATTTTGAAACTGCCCACATTTACTTGATACAATAAAAACATCAATTGTATCAATGAGAAATTCTTATAAAAAACTGTAGATGCATTCTAGTTGTAATAGTGCACAGAAACTCCAAGGCAAAATACAATAAACACAGTATCTAAGCAAAGGGGAATCTTTATCAGTGTTCACTCCTTATTTACCAGTGTTGACTCCTTACAGTCAATCACCCAATGCTTCTACACTTCTCATTGTGTCTTATTTGGACCTTAACTTGTAATTCTTCAAACTGGAAAATGAATTACAAAAAACAAAAAAGCATATGTCAAACTGGATTTTAACTCCTATTTCCAACGAAACAGCCAATGCTAGGATTTCTGATATTTTTAAAACCCATAAGGACAATAAGACAGAAAAAAAAAAATCAAGAAAGGGAATTCAATTTATCTATTTTTTCTACCTTCCTTTATTTTCAAAAAAAAATGACCAGTACAAAGAAATTCTGTGTATTTATTTTCTTCCACTTTCTCATGGAGTCTGCAAATGCTGCCTCTTTCCTTACGTTTTTATGGAGAAAAGAATTTCCTGAAGAATTTACTTCCTCTCAAAAGAGAAGCTTTAATTATTTCAAGCAAAGGCAACTGATACAACCATTTTCTTATTAGCTAAACATTTTCAATTGTTGAATGCATAATGTAACTGAACAGTATTATGACAACTCACTCTTCTAAAGCAATACTGTAAATCATTAACAGCAGCGTTTAATTTTTTGTGTAAGAGTAGTAATGGTATTCATGCTGTTTCATCCTATTATCCTGAAAATTTTAGCTGCTCAGGACCCACTCTGTGCATTGCAAGGAGTTTGAGAAACAACAGCTTACTGAAAGAAGCAGAAGTACCAACTAGAAAGTATGTATGATCAGAAACATATATAGGTGTATTCCTGAAAATTCAGCATTCCATAAAAATTATAATAACCAAACTGGTTTTGCAGCCCCAGAGAGTGCAGTATTTTTTTCAAGCATAAGGAATTATTGCAATTTTAGTCTGAGAAGGTACTGTATCCCCAATACTTCTTCAACTCTGAAATATCTGAGCTGTATGGCATCTAAGCGTTTAGCTTACTAAGGACTACAATATAGTAGAACTGAGAATGAAGCTAAGATAAGTTAGAATGAAGGTATTTTACTACTCAGAGTAAATCACAACTCTCTCAATGTTTCATTTAAGTCCTGATAAAGATTCCCCTTTCACCATTTCTTTGGTAAAAATAGCTGCATCACATTTGCTTCATCAGCTAGTAAAAGGCATTTTCTCTGGTGTAAATACTTTTTTCATTGTATATATCCAGTTTTATAACACTCAGATAATATACCTACTTTATATTGACCATTTTTTCAGTGAATACAATGCCAGTTCCAATTTGGGAGGTAAAAATCAAACAGATAATCATACACTAAGAGCAAGCCTAATCACATAAAAAACACTCTGCTAGCAGTAAAATGTTACAGATAAACTTCAAGGTAAAAATCAAACAGATAATCATACACCAAGAGCAAGCCTAATCACATAAAAAACTCTGCTAGCAGTAAAATGTTACAGATAAACTTCTGAATACAATATATTATCATCGGTATAAAATGACTACTTTCAGAGCTATTTTAAAAGCATCTTATTTCTCAAATGTAGAGAACTTTACTTCAAAACACAGTGAATGTTTAAGTAGCTGTATACATCTTCTGAAGCTTTGTGGCAATTTTCACTTCTATTGGCTTAAATCTCCTGCAATAAAAAAAAATAACCACATTTCATTATAATACAAATTCCATTATTTTACTGCTTAGTATTTTCCCGTATTTGTTTGAAAATAAACTTCATTCTAATCAACACATCAATTTTTTTTAAATGATCCAATTTGCAAATCACATCATAAAATCATTTAGGTTAGAAAAGACCTCTAAGACCATCAAGTCCAATCATTAACTTAGCACACCATACGTAGCAGAAAACCATAACCCTAAGTACCACATCCTTACACCTTCTGAGCATGTCCAGGGTTGAGGATTCCATCATTTCCCTGGGCAACCTGTTGCAGTGCCTGACCACCCCATCAGTGAATAAATCTTTCCTAATATCCAAACTAAACCTTCCCTGATACAACTTGATATTTCTTTCTGTACCACCACTTGTTACTTGAACAAAGAGACTGAATTCCACCTTGCTACAATCTATTTTGAGGGAGCTATAGAGAGCAACTGGACTTCACCATGTTAAGACATTAAAACTTTTGGCACTGTATATGAACACAGAGCAGGTGATTCTCAGAGAAGAATCCTTATTTATTGACTCAGCGCTATGTGTCAAAAGAACTTTCTAAGAATGGAACCTCAAAGTCAACATAAGAGAAACCCTTGTGTGCTGGTTTTGACTGGAATAATTTTTTTCACAGCACATGGTATAGGGCTAGATTTGGATTTGTGCTGGAAACAGCGCTGACAGCACAGAAATGTTTTAGGTATTGCTCTTAAGTGCTTACACTGTCACAAGACCTTGTCCTCTCCCTTGCCAGCAAGGAGGCTGGGGGAATACAAAGAGTTGGGAAGTGACACAGCCAGAGCACCTGCCCCTAGCTGATCACAGGCATTCTCCATCCCACACAGCATCAAGCTCAGCAGGTAAAGCTGGGGAAAGAAGGAGAAATGGGGAAGGGAACACACCTTCAGAGTCACAGCATTTGTTTTCCTGATTAACTCAAGCAGGTATTACACATGTTCAAACATAATAAAGCCCCTTCTTTCCTGGAGACAGCTGAACATCCCCCTGCCCATAAGAGTGAATGAATTCTTCCCTTGGTTTCTGTATTCAGCTTTTGCTTTCTTTTGTCAAGCTGTCGGTATCTCATTCCCTAAGCTCACCCATTTTCACTCATCTGATTCTCTCCCCCATACCACCAGAAAGTAAAAGCAAGTGCCCACATGGGGCTAAGCTGCCAGGTGAGGTCAAACCTAAGAGGAACAAAGACCATATAATCTTGGAAAGTATTTGTTCTGGATCATTTTCTGAGTTGTTACTCTCTTTATGTGAGCTCTACCTGACATGTTTCCTTCTGTTCTTTGGTATGGCAACAATCTTTAGTCAGGTAGATGGCTTGTGGTGAGAATGACTTTTCATTCATGTTGGTTCATTCACACATCTACAGATCAGAGGTTGAGGTGCCAGATGCAGAAGAGAAGCAAGTGTGCATAGGATTGGTCCTCAACTAACAGACTGCTCTGACAAGCATTTCCAGATGGCATAAGTAGAAACTGCCTATAATCAGACTGTGAAGAAGGCAGAGAATCAGGAAATTCTTTATATAGCTTTCACAGGACTACAAATTGGGAGGCCTGTGAGCCTACCAGGGCCGTGCCCTGGAAGAGTATATCATAGGCCCCAGGAATTCCCTTGAAGTTATGGTGACATGAAAGGAATGATGGCAGCAGTTATGCAGATTAAGTTGTTCCAAGGTTGTTATGTTATGAAGCTTGCATTCTGATTGGTTAGTCTTGTGTTCTATAAAAGGTATGGTTTCTGTTTCTCTTTATTCATTGGTTCCCTGCCCTCTATGTGTCTATGTGCCTCATTTTATGGTCTTCTGGAGTAGCTCTCTACAGTGTACAGCTTATGTTTTTGTTGTGCATTTATTGTTAGCACGCCTTTTATTTTTCCTTCACTAAACTGATTTTTGAGCACTCCAGTCATACCTGTCCCTGTTTAATTTACTGCCACACTCATGGCCGATCCCCTCCCAGGATTGTGCCTGCCACCAGCAACAAGGGTACTCATGCTCTAGTTCCTTACTCTACAACTAGTCCTTTCAATCACTATCCATTAAGCCCAGTCTTCTTTCCCAGACTCCTCTACATCTCTCTAGAACTTCAATATTCCTCATGTGCTATTACGGAGGATCCTTTCTTCATAAACTCACTTGACACCCAAAATACAGCTGCAAAGAGTGGGATTTTGAGCACAGCAGTACCTCTTATACATTTCAGTGCCTACCCAGGCATTCATGACCAGGTTAAGCAGATTAACCTGGACCCCATTTTAAAGACTGCATGGGTTAACAGAATTAATAAATCACAATGACAATGACAACACAATTGAGTTAAAATTACTTGGACTTGATTTCTTGTTCAACTGTATCTTACTTTACCTAAACAATGATTTAATTACTCTCCTGCTGCCACATTAAAAAAAAAAAATTGAGATAGTAAAGCAGACTTTTGTCCTAGTATTAGGCTGCTCAAGAGAAAAGTCAACTTCAGTCTCTTTCATCTCTTACTTACCTTGAAAGGAACCTTCCTTCTCTGCACAGAACTACTTGCCTCCCGTGGTTACGTTGTCTTCTGATTTACTACAAGAAAAAAAGGTAAATTCCAAAACCGAACATTAAGACAGCACAATCATTCCCAGGCTCCTTCTGGAATAACTCCAACTAGCTATTACACTGCATCACAAAAAAGACTTAAATTAAATTAGAAGTTCTCTTGCTAAAAAAAAGTTTGTGATTCACTAGGCTCCCACCTAAATACACTGCTGGATGTGACATTTAATTACAGCCTCATCAACCAAATACAGTTGTATTAGTCATCCCCTGACATAACAGACCAGACATGTTTCTTTGGAGCCACTCTCTAGTACACAAATCCATCTTCTGAACAGCCAATAGTTGAAGTAACTTTCAGTTCTTGAGTCAGAGAAGTACATAGATAAATTTTCCTCATGTGTTTATGTAAGGACTACACAATAAAGATCAAGCAGCTGTACAGAACCATGTCCCACATTCGCAAAAACGTTATTTTAGTGAACTATTCTGTGTTACCATACTAGTATTTTCAGCATGTTTATGAGAAGCAGGCTGTGCAATAAGGACAATTTCTCAATTTTCAACTTAAGACATACCCCCAAACATTCAGCAGTATAATAGAATACTATATTCCCAAGACATACTCCCACTTTATACCATAATTTAATTAGAGATTTAAATCCCTTCAGACCAAAATATATTTTCAGCACTGAAAAAGGAATGAGAAAGTGAATACAACACAGGAAAACAAACATCACTGCAGAAAAACAAATCCAAAAAGAAATCAGAGGGAAAGAGAAAGAAGAGTCAGAAGAAAAGAGGAAACAAAACACAGGAGGAGAAAAGGGATCAAGACAACAAAAACTAGAGTAGACTGGACACATCTAAAATGACCCGTTAGACAACTTTCCTCTTCTTTTAAGAGGTAAACAGGTTAGATAAGGGAACCAGGCTTCAGAGAACAGGCAGAAAGACAAGTATAGCATACTTAAGCAAGCAAGCCTGAAGAAATATATGATCCTAAGGACAGGGGAGCCAGCATGGGAGCACAGACCCTGGAACAGCAGAACAGCAACAGAAGTGCCTACATCTGCTCCTTTGGTTAGCAGTGCAGCCCAGGAAGCCCAAGCTACCACCACAGTGAGAAATCTCCTGAGAGGTTGGAGTTAGCCACCAAAACAGCCAAAAATGCCAGCTCCCAACACCCCAGCAACTACAGGCTTAGATATGAGAGTTAGGGCTTTGACCACATGCCAAGTAGATAAATCTATGTTAATACAGACAAATACACTTTGGAACAAGAAAAAAAACATTCAGAACCACTTCTGATACACTTTCACTGGGAAATTATTTCTATGCAGTAACATCTTCTGGAATGAACTTATGAGGACACATGGTACTCTCAAAAAGAAACAAAAAAAATTCCAAAACTAACACAAAACAAAAAACTACTAAAAAAACCTAATCATAATTTCAAAATCAAGTTCCAGGCAGAAAATAGTGCTCTGCTCACTCTGGAATCAGGAATTCTTAAGGAAAAAAACAAACTGTTCTTTCACACTGACCACCATCCCACTTACCAATGGGATCAACAACAAGGTATAATTTTGTAAAACACAAATACACATAAGAACAAATATCAGACTACAGTATAGGAACTTTTTTGCTTACAGTTGCTCAATTTGGTCAAACTCTTTTCCACCTCCTGCAGAACAAAAGAAGTACCATATAGCAGTATCCATTTAATAAACAATAGAAAATTTATTGTTTAGTACATTTAGTTAGTACATTTGGCTTAATCAGAAAAAACGTTATTTTATTTTGTTAGTTTTCTTAAATATGTATTTCAAATTACCTTGCTTATCTGTTCAAGGGAGTTACCTCCAAAGTGGTGAAAAAATCTCATTTTGATAAGGTTTTATTAGACTGATTTTAATACAAATCATCTTTTATACATAGAGGTTTATACACTTCTTTATTTCAAAATATACATAACATGCATTTATGTCTACATTAGATACATGCATTTTTCCTTCTTACTAAATGTCTTTAAAGAAACTCCTCCCATCAAGGCTACTAAGAACTGCTTCTATTCCTAATCATTCCCCCAAATATTATAGCCTCAAAATTGTCTTGTATTGTAAGGGAAAAAAAAACCCCAGGACTCTATCAAAACTGTTATAAGTATTGCTTAGTGAAAGCTCTTTTCATTGCAGTGTTTTAGATTAAAGAATTTTCAGAAACACAGATCTGAAAATGACTTAACTTTATATATGCTGCACTATAGGTCTTTTCTACCTTTGGCTATAACTTCAACAGAAAGCTAGAAATTAATTTAAAAAACCCAAAATGACCAACTTTTCTACCTTTGGCTATAATTTCAACAGAAAGCTAGAAATTAATTTAAAAAAACCCAAACTGACCAACTAAAAACCCTCCACCAAAACTTACCTTTTGCCTTCTTTTTCGAATACATCTCATAGAGGGCAATAGTAGTTACAAGAATAGCGACTTCAGCCACAGCTGCTATAAAGGGTTTGAGAGGTTCTGCAATGGACAGAACCCTAAGTTCAAACCTCGCTTTACTGCCCGCTAATTCAAAAGCGGCTTCACACCAATATTCACCACTATCTTCCATGGTGAGCTTGTGTATCTCCAAACGGTTTTCACTGGCAGATAGCATCTTCATTTCAAACTTGTCCAGAGGCAAAACCTTATCAATGGGAACCTAAAAGAACACATTGCAAGTCTTAGTAAAGTAATCAGGAGGTGTTTCATCAAACAGTACCATCAACATTCAGTTCTCTATAGATACATACAGTAAGTTATGAACAAAAGGTATTCGTGAAGCACAATCACCCCGCATTAAAGAGAAGGGTTTATTTTAGCTGGACATCCTAATTCTTTCTAAACTCACTGGAAAAAAAGACAAAGTTTCAGTGGGCAAACTGTCTGACCTGTTTTAGTTTATTTAAGAGGAGATAAAAACACTTTCAGCTCTATTGACTCTCCAATGACAAAGGCATCCTTGGCTGCCAGATCTAATGCATGGGTTTCACCATAGCACAAAACATGCACTTTCAAGGAAGTGGAAGAAGGAGCTCTCCTGCACCAGGAAGGATATTGACAACTCTTAAAAAGACCAGTGCTAGTCTCCAGCCATATAAAGGAGACAGATCTCTTTACCTTCTCTCAGTTGACAGTGCTGGCCTCAGAAAAGGGCTGAAAGAAAGTGTTTTAGGAAGCTGTGCTGTCTTAGATAAGGCTAAGAAACAGAATTCCTTGTACCTGGAGGAGGTAAAGGGTCCTAACAACATTTTACACATGAAAGCATGTCCCACTGTAAGATTATTTTTGTATCCAGTATCAAGATTTGAGTAGTATAACCAATATAAATACAGTAAAGACAAGTCCCTCAAAACTCACCTTATTTGGGAGTATGGCAGGGCTTTTTGAAAAAGAAACAAAAACCAGATAAAAAACCTACATCCCTGTAACAAATACTTGTAAATATTACAGATTTTTTTTTCCATTTCCATAAATATTTCCGCTAAAGGTAACGGAAATAGAATTTGTAGAGCTTGCAGTGCAGTATGAAGTATCTGTACTTTTTTTTTTTGTCACACTGTTTTGCTTGCCTAACAGAGGGAGATCTTACCAGCTCAGTTCCATTGGTCATATACCACATCCAAGCCTTGGCATCATACTCAGCTTTACAAACCATTACAGCTGTATCACCTATATAAGTGATTATGGGTTTTTCTCTTCCTTCAATGGTTGGTACTAAGAACAAGGAGAAAAAAAATCATCAAGTGAGAGATACAGGTTTTCATTAGTGTTACAAAGAATATATTTAGGTATTCATTTATAGTACTCCATTCACTTTTTCTACTTAAAGCTCTTATGATTCTATCATTTGTGACATGAGAAGTTGTTTTGGGCAGCTATTTCAGATATATCATCTGTGCAGGAGATAAGTGGAATCCTGTTACCAGTTGCTATGTGATCTTGAAAGTTGCCAATTAATACCAAACATCAAGTGAAAAAAAAAAAAAATCAGACTGATTTCTACTCTTGCCCATTTCCTCTTTTCCTTCCTTGGCAGCTGCAAGCTACATGCTTCAGTTCTAGTACACTAAAAACAAACATATAATTTTCCTGCAATTTCACTCTATCTGCAGAAACTGCTAGAAGTCTATTTCAGCCCCAATGAGACTACATAATGGTATCTGACAAGTTGTATACAGAGAATGTTTCTGTAACTGAGAAAAAAACTGCAGATTGATAGAGATTTGTAGTTAAACATTTTCTGAGCTGAAGCAATAACTTTTGGGTGCATGCCAATAAAAAGGACTTTTGGTCCAGTCTTGCTGAGGACAGAATACAGTCAACAAGAAACAAGGCATCAGTCTAACTTTAGAGCTACTTGTCCTAGCCATTGTCACTGCTCGTGCCCCACAAACTTCCAAAAGCATGTGTCCAGACAAGCTATTGAATGTATTGAGACTATCCTACAGATACTGTTAGAGCTTAGCAAATGAATTATGCTGAAGTATGTATTTCTGCTTCCTTTCCCTGTTTATTAGGATGTTTACCAATATGTCTTCCTCAGATGCACTCATTTTAAATTTTACTTCAAGTTTCTTTTGCTCTACTTTTTAAGTACAGATCCAGTACATACTACAGATATTATTGATCACACTAGACTAAATAGGCCAAGTATTTGCTTTCAGCAGTTACGACGAACAATTTGATACAAACTAAGATTTTTCTTGTCCTCACCCGTTCTTGACTGGTGAGCACGAATTATTTTTTCCCCAAAGAAGTCTGCTTCTCATGTGTATTCAAACTTAGGTTTCCAATACAGAAATATCTATGAAACCAATTTGTTAATAAGAACACTGTTTTTAGTCTCAGAATTTGCTGCACCATACATCAAGACTCCTTACTAGTGAAGTTCTCTCAATGTGCGCATTTTAATCATTAAGCACTAAAATTTTAAAGAGTAGTGGCAGTGTATCTTCTCTGCTGCCATTAAAAAGGATGACCTCACTAATTACTGCTGCAATCTCTGCTGCAATTTAGAGTAGAAGAGAAACAAGCAGGTTAGGATAAAAAAACTCTGTATACCCAGCACAACAAGCTTATGTGGCAGTCAAAGAGATTTAGTCACACTGGTGAGTGACAAAGGTCAGCTATAAGCATGCCAGCAATATGTTTGACCACATTACCCATGATTAAGGATATGAATATGATATTTCAAATTCTGGGATCTGGCTCTAACTCCAAATCCCTGAATGCATGCAAGGCTTGTGACAGGTATTTTTGCAAGTGGATCACACCAAATTTGGTGACAAAATTCTGCTGCACACACAAAGCCAAATTTTGAAGAAACAAACATACAGGTGGTCAGCACCAGCACGTATATCAGTCAGATTTCCACACAGTGTTAAAAATCAGAGCTATTTCATGGTGCCCATACCTCAACTACTGCTTGAGGATCCCCAACAGGGGGCAAAGAAATTAATCTATTCTACCCTTTCAGAAGCTAGCAGCACTTCACAATATTTTATAACACCCATTAATGTTCTCTGTGTTTATTAACTTGAACTTGCTGTAAATATCTCATTGTTTTCTGCAAACCTGAGTAAAAACATAACCCCTCAAAATCTGAGAGGTTATGCTAGGCCAGGAATCAGGGGGAAAGAAGAGGAGAGGTAACACATGCAGTAATCCCCAATTGTCTTGTGGAAAAGATATTGCAGTTAGTTACAGCAGTGATGACTTACACCACTGAGTCTATACCAACACATTACTCATCCTTTAGCTTGAAAATTGTTCTTCCTGCATTATTGACTGGAAGATTCAAGGACTTCTCTTTCCCATTTTCATCACTCTTGCCTTCAACTTAAAAAGTACTGGCTTGATGCTTTTTATGGCATCAGAAGTGGCAGCATTCAACTATCAGGCAGCAATTCTCTGATCATCTTATAATAAATCAACCAGTCCTATGCACTGTTCTGGAAAAGATGACTTTCCTATTGAGTCATTGCTGCCCTTACTGTAATAGTTATCGCATACTTACAAAAAAAAATTCTGTAAAAAATTCTCCTTGGACCTTTTTCCATCTACACCGACTTGGATAGCTATTTGACTAAACCTTACACACATGCTGACAGGAAAAATGCATAATTATTTTCTTGAGATTAAAAGACCTGAATAACTACAGCTTTGTCTTTATTCAGCACTGCAATCTAGTCTCTCCTGGCTGAAGGTCTGAAAGCAGGTATCAATGATTGATATTTGAATCCACACGAGCTCCCTAATGTCCTATTACTGGATATCCCACTGAACAAAGGCAGCTTGCAGCTTAAGAATTAGGGAGCCCCACTGCTTAACTCAGCTAAGGTTAGGTAATGATTTGAATAGTTAGGTTTCCTCAGAGCCTGTATATAGGAAAAATGTCTCTATATCCACCTTTACAGATGCTTGCCTTGCTCTTTGCAAAATCTGGACAGTAGGAATAGAGAAAGGAGTAACTCCCACTAGAAATATTCATCAGCTCAGCAGCTTGTATTTTCATTTCCACATATCTTCCAGGGTAACATTATTGGAGAAGAGAACAAAAACAGAAGAAAGGGCACTCATATTCCTCAATGAAGTACACTAATTGTTCATCTAACTACTATTCTAAAAATTTTACAGAATAAAAGAAGCACTAAAGCAATAATGTAGTGTTTCAGAAATACAAATAAAATCTTAAAAGTCCTGCCTCCATTTTGGCAATCTCTACTTCACTTTTAACACCTAACCTCAGACTCAAATTGCAAATTATTGGCTCTGCTTTTTGAGGAAATTTATCTGAGACACCATCCTTTAATCTCATGCCCCAGAAAGTGAAGTGTATTTACATCTGGAGAGGGAAGGGGAAATCAGTTAGTCAAGAAGGGTAAAAACCATACTTGTATGCTGTTTTGGTTATTAGAATTATTTATAAAGGCTTTTTGTTTTTTGGTTTAAAATTCTTCAATCCATGCTACAGAAATTACTGTAATAATTATTCTCACTTAGTCTGACTGTATTAGCCATTACTTATGAAATTACATTTCAATTTCCATACTCTCCAGAAAGAACATTAATACAACTTTGCAGTAGTCAGCTGAAACAAAAACTTTAAATAAATACAAATCAATTAAATTACCGTGCAAATGAAACGTGGCACTGACTTCTTTTTCAGCCTTCAGAATACAAGTGTAACTTCCTAGCTCACTGCTCCCTGAGATGGTCAGTCTTAAAAAAAAAAAAAAAATCACAAATTTGGGGTTTTTTTGTATTTTCTTTTTGTGCCACTAAAAGTGACTGCTAATTAACATTCTGAAGAAAACAGTAGGAATTAGTAATGGAGCAGAGAAGATACCACCACTGAAACACTACAATTCAGGTTTAGTGCAATGCAGAAATGGCACAATGTTTTTAAGAAAACAGATGGGCACAAGCACACTTCGGATCATAAAAAACATTTTTACCCTAAGTGCTGACAGAAGGACATCTTTAAGCAGCAATATCTACAGATTACTGAGTTAGACATGGGCTCACCATGTGAACTAAGAAGCATATCCTATGTAGGGCTTTAGGAAGAACAAATGACTTAAGTAATCTTTTTTAGGATTTAAAATACATATACCTTTACAAAAACACTAAATAAATAAATAGTTTTAAAGAGCTTTCATCTAATTAAGTCCAGCATCTTCTCCACTGGTAGACTATACATTTTACTGTCACTTTGAAAAAGATTTAAGTGTCTGTGTATATGGATTATCAAGAAAGTGACAGTTATAATCTCATCATATTTTCTACAATAGAAATTTTATCTAAGTATTACTGCTCTTAAAGCTATACGGAAATGAAATGGAGACCAATCAGTTAAAATGTGTAATTGACCTAATTCTAAAGAACAACAATAAATTGTATTGATTATAGAAAGGCTTTTACAATATTTTTTGAATTTCTGCAGAGGTCTGAATGATTTAAGAAAACCATCAAAATATCTTTACTGAAAATCTCACTTCTACCATTTCTTACCTATGAAGGAAAGAAAATGACCATTGATGACTTCCAGACTCTTGCAAAGCAGCAATGAGGTGGAAAGGGGGATGTGGAAAATGAGGGAGTGGAAAGAGAAATTGCTGAAGTATTTTAATCTCAGACTGATTATTATTTCACTTACTGAACACACTTTAAGGAACTGTCTTGTAATTCTATATTCTTTAAAAAAAAACCCCAACTTTATTTTATGTGCAGTAGAAGAAAAACAGGAGCTCATCCTCTAGGCTTGAGATACCTGCAGTCTTTCTCCTTTCTGACAGCTTCAGTACACTAATCTCTGCATCTCTCCCTTTTCCAATATACACATTACTAGTATTGGGTACTGTATATAACATTGTAGCTCATCAGAATCTGCAAATCACAATGTAAAGAACACTACTTACTGGATGGTCCAGCTGTTTGGAGTTTTACTGGTGTGACTGATTGTTTCACTTCCCCTTTTCCAAGTCACTTGAGGATCTTTCAAATTCGAATTCTCATCTAATCTGCATGTAAGTTCAACTGTAGCTGGACTGGCCAAAGAGATATTTTTTTCAGACACACCTATAAGAAGTTTAAAAACATTTAATGAAAAAACCTATTGCCTCATTCTCATTGCCTCATGAGTGAAGGAACTTCAGAGACTGTGTTTACATATACAGGATTACAAGTGGACACAGGTGCTCTTTATATTCTCCAGGCCAAAAAAGTCCCTGCAAAATCAGTTTCACAGAAATTTTCTTAAGTAATAACTGAGTTAAAATACATATACCTTTACAAAAATAACACACTCCCAATTTGTAGGTAAATTTCCTAGAGGGCTCTAATATAGAAGCATAAATACTCATATCACTGAGAGCAAGACAGACTTAAGCTTTTACATGATTTAATCCAAACCAAAAATATTAAGTACTTAGTATGTATATAGAAAATTTTATTAATGTCAAGAAAAGTTAAGACATAAGTATCTGTAACTATTTGGATCTTAGCCAATTGCAGATTTTTAGGATACTGTGAGATCACAGGTATATCCTATTGCTAGGTAAGCTATTGATAAAATCTGCAACATTAACATAGCTGGATCAGGCCTTTCATACCTACAGTTACTCAAGCTGATATCAAAACCTCTTCAAACCCCTTTATGGCCACCTTTGCCTTCCTGGCAAGTCAGTAGAATCACAGTAGGAAAATATTACAGTATAGTAGAAAAACCTGTCAGTTTTTTGCTTTTTATGAATACAGGTTCATGAGCATAAACTAAGCACATCCAAAAAGTAGATACCAACAGCAAATATCTTCTCTGATCCATAGAAACAGCCTTCTATTAGAAAACACTTTGGATGTTTTATCCATTAGTACTGACACTTTATTTCATAACTGGCCTTTTCATTCATGCCTTCTGGATAGAAGCGTGGTTAGTCATCTAAATACTCCAAGGAAATTTATGCATGCCTCACTTCAATTCTAGATGCACCCTGTAGTATTTGGTGGTCAAAAAACTATAGGTGTATTGCACAGCTCACATTCCTTCCAAGAGAAAATGAAGTTTTAAGGTACAGCTCACTGACTTTGTAATGCAAGTCATACCTATGCAGCAGCAAAACCTCACTGGAGTGATAGCACAAGATCCAGAGTAAGTGAACTTTACTGGGTCTGGCAGAGACATGTACAATCTGAAGAAGGCATATCCAGAACTGTGAGTCCCAGCCACAATAACTCAAACCTGTCAAACTGGAGATAAACTTAGAAGTGCAACACCTCAGTCTTCCATTGCAGAGCAACATCAGTCACTGAAAATCATTGATTAGGGCAATTAGGCTGAATAAATGAGACAAGCATAACTCAGCTTGTTGGGACTGTTTATGAACAACGTAATTTTACAACTGGAATTGGCTCCACAGCAGCAGAAGTTTCACAGTCAGGCTAATTACAGAAGCTGAAAACAGTATCTGTCCCTTATGAAATGATTTTAAAATGTGAATGAACAAAATATAAAAATGGATGATGTTGAAGATTAACCAATAGCAAGACTGATGTCTGGGGCATCCCTGTACTAAGAGTGCAGATACCTGAACAGCAAACAGCAGTACTTTAAGTTTCCTGCTAGAAGAAAATACAGCATAAATACTGCAAAATTACATCCTTAAAATATCACACCAGTACTTTGCAAATCTTCCAGAGATAGTTCAGTTAGATCAGTTTCTTCAGCTGTCCAAGAAATTAATTCTAGACTAGTGTCTGGCAACTGGGAATTCCATATGTACTTTAGGAACAGGTTTATTTTTGCTGTTCTCCACACTTCAACTCCAGCAATGTTGCTAAGCTAACACCTGCTGTTCAGCAAGTACTCTAGTTCATGTGGTCTCTCCAAGTGGATTCACAAGTGCAAAAAAACTATTGTTTCAATTGATTTGGAGGAACAGTTATGAATTAGTTTTACTTTTAGTTTTAATAAAAATAGGAATCTAATTCTCCACTGCAAAATAGTTATTACCAGAACAGAAAAGTTAATAATTACAAAAATGTACTTACCTTTCACTGGGCTCATCTCATGCTCACGTGAACATCTTCACTTTATCAAGAACTTGCCATTCTAGATGCTTCTGCAACTCATATGAAAGTTTGTGTGTACTCACATTCAATAGAAAATAATTGGAAGACAAAAAGTAACACACTCACCAGGCAGGACTATCTCATACTCTGTGATATCAGTGCTGTGCTTGCTTCCAGGCTTGAGCTCTTGTGTGGCAGCACCTGGACATAACAAGGTTTGGGCGAAAACAGTTATGTTATCCTACATAAATAATACATAAATAATGACAAAAATCACACAATATAGTTTGGCAATTATTAGTTACAACAATCTTGAAAGGAGAAAACAGACCTTGCCAAGTGCTGACAAGTGGCAATCCTTTTATAAACCTGTCTTGGCAGCCATAAGAGCAGTGTTGTGGGGTTGCTGTTGTAGCAATTACGCTGTTAGATAACGGTTTCTACCTTTATTGTGATGCTGCAGTTGTGAATGCCGGTATCTAAAATGTCATCACTGTTCTACAGCTTGACTGAAAAAGTCACCTATAGCTTACATACAGGACTACATCTACGTTTACATAGTTCTTAGAAAAGTAATAAGCTTTAGAAAAACTTTAAGAAAAAATTTAAAAATCCAAGCCAACCAACCAACAAAAGTCACCCAACAAAAAACGCCAGAACAACAGAATGCTGCCATTCTCAAAGCTACTACAATCTAACAACACAGCCAGGAACTCAGAGGTAGACAATCTAATCTTAAGTGTTGCTTTAATGAATTCAGAGGCACGAACACCTTGTGGTCAACTACAAAATGGTCAAAGACTGTCACTGCTTCTCAAAACTTCTGATACAGAGCAGGCAACACCCTTCTACAAAGAATAGATACCAATATTAACCATCGTATGGCTGACCTAAAAATATTATTCTCATTTTGTTAGGAAAACCTACATTTACAAGGTGTATGGTCACCCAACTTCCTTTTTGGTGAGCTGTGGATCACATACCCTTCAGAGAGTACAAGATCTTTTATAAAGTTCTACAAAGCTTGATAAAGCAACTCTAAGCACAGTCTGTTCCCATCACCTGTTCTCATGCATTTCAAGAACAGAAAAAGAAAGCAAATTAATAAGCTGCAGCTCTTACAGATGTAGCCCAGCTGCAATAATCTTCTTTTAAATAAGGTGAAGAAAGGGAAGAGATAGATTTCACCACCACCCCAAAAGATACACTAAATGTTTTATGACACACGTACTTTTACATACTTGGAAAGTAATTTCATTGCCAAATATTTCATAATGAGTTGCAGAAATATATGAAGAGTAGGTAGAGACTGATTCTGCCTAGTCACACAGCATTTTAAGAGAATTATTCTGGTTTTTGTAGATGGAAAGGGGCTTGATTATATCTGCTGTTTATGGATTGTAAAGATTCCTAATCACAATTGAGAAGATAGAGGAACTAGGCTACACCTTTAACCTTCCCACTGATAGATGTATTGGGTAGCCAAATTGGCCACTGTGAAATAGCAACTTTGAAAGCCTACATCTCATCAGAACTACTCCTTTTCTTCCCCTGCATAAAATACTGAACTCTCAGGTAAAGATCTTAAATGCATGCCTCTGAGCTACAGCTGGGAGGATCTGGCTGTGCTGAAGGAGGTCCCTGCTAGTGGTCTGCATCTAAAGGTATAAGCAGAGGTACACCTGCCTTTTCAAATTGTTGGCCAGTTTCAGAAAACATCCTCTCAAGCTCACAGCATCTCCTGGCTCGTTCCATCTCCATTTTCATACTTTCCCTCAAGCTTCAATTAGTTTAAGGAAAAATAAACCTGTATATTAAGGTGTTTGGTGTGGAAGAACAGAACTTCAGGCTATTTCATTTGGTGATGTTGACAGTAGGTTGCTGTCAATCTTAACTGATAGTACAAAATGGCCTTTTAAGCAGAGAAACCAAAGCTGTCTTTAGCAGTAGACAATAGTCCTGTTAGCTCTAGACAAGAACACAACAAGCCTTGATCTCTGCCCCATGGAGAAGTAAACTAGTCCAAGTGTTTACCCAGGAAATAATATCAAGGCTGAAAAGTTCTTAGCAGATCTTAGGCTGCCTGTGTGCACAAACACTCAAACAGCATGCCAGGGTTGTCACATATCAGCTGAGTTTATGTCAGTCCAGTACACACATCACCTGCTTTTTCACCGAAATCCCTTGCAATGATACATTGATCAGCTGAGTTTATGTCAGTCCAGTACTACACACATCACCTGCTTTTTCACCGAAATCCCTTGCAATGATACATTCAGAAGGCACCAGTTCTACTTCGTATGGTAGATGCAGCCATAAAAAACTAGACAGCCTTTGAAGTGTCTTGCAACGAACAGGATTTTCACATTGACTTTCTTCCTCAATTCACATATCAAAGGAAAATATTCAGATGAGGTCATACTGTATGAAACATTTTCTGTATTTCCTGTATGTCTATGTGTGTTTATGTATGTAGAGGGTTATTGAAGCTATTGGCTATTGCACTCCTAGTTCTCACATTGTGCGAAAAGGCTCCAAAGATGAACACCAGATAAATATCATTATCTCATTGAAAACTCCAACTTGTAAGTGAAATAACTTGCTAGAAATTGAGTTCACATAGAAATAGAACTTAGCTCACGTCTGACTTGCACTAATCAACATGAGCTTTGGGACAGTGCTGAAATTCTGATTCTCTGATCTTTATGGAGAAAGGAAAAGTAGAACCAACATGCATTGGTTTCCTGTCCTGCCTGGAACTTATTCTCGGCTCCCTGTTAAAAATACAATGAAGGTATAAGGTACAACAGACAGTTCTGAGACAGCCATAATTAAGAAAGATGAAGCTAGCAGGTACAGTGGTGCAAGGGCATTTTTTATACCTTTCACTAACACAAAGGCATAAGGAGCTCCCATATTAAAGATTATCACGGCTTAAACCTAGAACACAATGTCCCTGCAGTGGCACTAGCTGGGCCCTGCCCAACCTCCAGGGTCATTGCCTGCTTTTAAGGCATATATGCCTAAGGGCAACAGGCCACGAAACTGGCAGCTGCATAGCTTTTTCCAGTTCTGAAGATACTTGCAACACTCAAGCTCCTGTAGTGGTTTTAAAAGACCTAGGTGCTGTATCTGCTTCTGTTTCTTCCAAAAAGTCACAATCTTATTTCACGAGTGTGAAAATGTTGACTCTACATGATAAACAAATTATCAATAGGAAAAAGGACTATATAGTTTTAAGTGTACTGAACTAAAACAATTACCAGATGATTCATGTCCAGCTTGCATCTTTGTCACAGAATTCACCCAAGTCTGATTGGAGTCTTGTGTTGTCATAGGTGGATCTAAAAGAAACCGAACAAAACAGCAGAAAGAGTTTAAAGAAACCGTAGGCTGAGGTGAGGATATTCTGCCGGGATTATTTTCATGAAGTAGCTTTTTCTTTCTTCCCAAGTTCTGAGCATACACATTAAAAAATGCACAATAATTGTTTTTTGTTAGTTGTTTAGCTCACTTTAGGCAAGAGAAGATTAAAGAATGGAGGCAATATTTATTTGATCTCTAATTTCTGTGTAGAGTTATTTTCTTGCACTTAGCTTACAGGCAGGCAAAGCCACTCCTCAGAATGTTCCAGCAACTTTTTAAACTGTACTCACATCCTTTTTGTTCACAGGCTTAAAACACCACTTATGCCACTGACATCGGTCAATTACTTTTAATACAGATTAGTAGATTTTCCAATAGAGTACAGACTTCATAACAGCTTTACAAATCTGGTGTGATGAACAAGCAATGTACATACCTCCTTTGGCTCCACTAGCACCACAGTAAACAGGAGAAAATACATCTGTATCAAACCGTAACTTCAGCATCTAATACTAACAATTACTTCCAACTTTCCTCAGTACCACTGCAAAACTGATCCTCTTCCTATGACACAGTTTTTACAAGAACCATTTAAGACTCCAGTCTGATTTGTGTTCTTGACTGGAAAAACAACAGCAATGGAAGAGGCAAAGGACTTGGTTAGTAGTTGTGTCATTCTTTAAGAAAATCAAGATATCTAGATGTATTAGAAGAATGGAAGTGCAGCCTCATTCCTTATTTCCACCTTTGGGTGACAGAGCTAGTGTTTATTTTGTACTATCTGCACAATACAAAGGTATTCCAGGACATATTCTAGTGCCATAGCACTCAGAGAGAGTGATTCACAAGGAAAAGAAATGTATTTTGCATTGGTAATTAAAGTCTTGACAGGGGGGTGGAATTGGGACCATGAACTCTTCTGGACACCCAAGAAAGCAACAAACATCGTCGCACAAGGAAAAGACATGTATTTGTAATTAAAGTCTTGACAGGGGGTTGGAATTGGGACCATGAACTCTTCTGGACACCCAAGAAAGCAACAAACATCACAAATCACAAAAATCAGAGAATATTCTGAATTGGAAGGGACCTATATGGATCCAGTTGAACTCTGAAGTGAACAGCAAAAAGCTGCATCACATTTTAGGTGCATTCAGACTTGAGAATCACATGCCTTCTGCAGAAGGTGAAGTCAGCACTGTGCCATTTCCTACAAATGAACATTACTAACACTTCTACCCCATTTCAGCACCAGTAGGCATAGACAACTGATAGATTCTCCACTGGCACCTCCAGCACACAGTTATTCCATCACAGCCATGCCTGGCTTACACCATCTACTGTCTCAATCTGCCCACCATACTTCAACCAGTTTGGACCAAAAGTAAAACCCAATAGTCAAAAGATAGTAAAAGAATTAAGCATTACTGGTTCTTAAGAGCAGCCCACTTTTTTATCAGTCCACCGGTACCATAGCCAGCTGTTCCCTCCCAGCCCTTCAGTTTAAAAAAGCTTAGAAGATCTGCTCTGAGAATGTGCTGGCTTATGAGCCAGACATTAAAAAGACTGAGTCTTATTCTCTGCCTCACAGAGGTACTGAGCAGGGAGAGCTATTATTTTTCTGATATTCATAGTACAACTGAAGAAAAAGGTCCATGAATTTTTGTACCTGCAGCATCTTGAGGCATTCCAAGTATGTTATGGATCACCTGCATATTAATTAAAATCCCCAAAGATGATAAATTTAGAAGGTGCCAGTGCCAAGCTGTACAGCAGCTCTGTTATCTCTCTGCAATGAAGGCAGATAACCTGCAATGTGGTTTGCATACTAACAGGGTTCTCATCTTGGCTTTCTTCCTTAATTCATGTAGCAAGTGAAAGAAGTCAAGCAGTGTTATTTTTGTCACCCCTGCTTATGTATCTTTCACCTTACCTGTCCACATGTCAAGCTACCCAAAACAGAGATAACATTGCACCACTCTCTTCCTCTCATATATACTTGCTGAATAGCACTGGAGATCAAGATGGGCCAGCACAGCACTGCCAGTGTCATCCAGCCAGGCAATGATGTAGGAAGTTGCATGGAGTAACTTCTCAAACTACTGAGTCATGGCTGCATGCCTTAGCCTAGAGTAGTTCTGCACTACTTTAATCAATAGCGTGGTCACTAGTAGAGGTCTCATTTCCTTGATTTTCATGCAGAAAAGGAAATAGGCAAGAGTACAATATAATGAATTTAGATTTCTACATTACTTCTGCTTCACATGGCAGTCAATATTTTCGGGCAAAAAAGTATGGATGTACCATGCTTACTATTACCAGAGTAATTTCAGGCTTAATCTACTTGTTCTCTTTTAGCCAGAAAAGCACCTGAGTAAGAAATGGCTGAAATACAATTTGCTTTAGTTTAATATCTTTATTTTACTGTTTAGTTTAATATAAATTATATACTTTTTAAATTCACATGCATTCAGTAGCATCCAAAATCAGCCACCAGAACTTCCTCATGTCCCAGAGACATCAACAAATCAACATTAAGGACTCCCAAATACCCTGATAAAAGCTGCTCTCTCAGGTCAAACCAGAAAAACCCAACTTGAAAGCAACATCTGTAAGGAATGAGGTGTGTTCTATGCTCACAGCTCCTTGAATTCTTCAGGAGCAGAAAGTGAGAGATCAGATGTGATGGGACTGTTTTTCCTACATCAATCTGGCAGTACTTGCTGCAACTAAATTAAGACAACCATAAAGGTAACTCAAACAAAGCAGCAAACTCTGAACAACAGTGTTCTGACACTTGGTTAGAAATTACCCTTAACTCATAGCAAAATAAAAGCAATAGTTTAGATTTTTTCCAAAACAAGTAACTTAACAGTTATATGACTAAGAACAACAAAATAAAGATCTTCTTTGAGATATTATCTCAAAATAAAAATCTAATGGGGCTTTTGGGGCATCTGCCTGACCAGCCTGCAGATCATGTAATTCACCTTTCTGCAATTCAGTCCCTGTGTGCAAGTGCTCCCTCTGCTTACTTTTACTGCAAGCATTTCTTTTGGATTAAGCACTTTCACATCTCCAAAACAGAGTTTCTGGACTCCAGTGGAAAACAGTTTTAAGTGTTTCTCCCTTCAGGTGACATGAACTTCCCTTTGCTGCAGCTGTGTAGAGAGTTCCTGTGCTCAACTACCTTCATACACCGTTAATAACCTATGAAAGAGTAAATCACCATTTTTTCAATTAAATCATCACAGAAGTCACAGTATGATGCCTCCCTATCTAGTTCACACAGCTGCAAAAACATTTAATGGAAGTCTGGAAAACAACACCTTCACTCTATACAGATGAAAAGTACTAAAGTTAGTGGCTTATTTCTGACATCTGCTCTAAACCACAATACCCGCCGCCGACTTTAGGAAGATGGTAGGCTTGCACAGTTTTTTGCAAACACAAAGAAGGTTTTGCTGTTTGATTCATTCTTCTGGTCAGAGGCTATCATTTTACCAATAGCTTTACATAAACTTAAAACTGCTTCAGCCACCATCTGGTATGGGTTTTGGCATTAACAGCTATAAAAAATAACTATCTTATGGCAACTAGACACATGCTGACGCACACATTCCTACAAATATCAGACTATTTGCACCCAAAAAACTCCTCAATTAAGTAAACTGCTAGAAAGGATTTCAAGTTCTGTGTGTACATAAATACACGTGTATTTTAAAGAAGACTTAAGAACCACCAAGTAGATTTTTGTCTGTGTACATACTTAAATACGCATTTCAAACAAGACTTGAGAAGTGCAAAGTATGTTCCCTTTCACATTATGTGAAACTACTGGAAATTTTACAGAAGGTACCATCACCTGGGGAGCACTACTGGTCTTCTCAGTACTAGGAAGTGCACCAGAGGCAGAAGAACCCATAACTGCTTGTATTTCACACTGTGAAATACACTAAACCACAATGAATTCAAGTCACAGCATTGATGTCCACATACAAGTATGCATATGCTCACATAGACAGGACAGAACTCTTAGCCTTGCCAAGACCTACTCCAAGAATCTCACCCTGCACAACAACCACCAGCAATCTGGTAATTCCTGCTATAAGCATTTTCTACTAATCTGCAATGCCTAAAGAAAGAGAAAAAAAATTACAAATTCACTAGTTTTAGAAATAAGATCAAATTTCCTGGGAAAGAATGGCCTGCTCCTGAACTGCTGCAAGCCTCTAGAGGAGGAACGGGGCCCAGCAAGCTCACATCACTCCTTCTTCATGGATTTTAAATGCTACATTTAAAAACGCAATCACAAATCCCAAGGAGCACCCCTCATAACTCATTAGGCACGTAGATACCTAAATAATGTAATCCGTCGATTGAGCGGGGCGGGGGGACTGGTTGTTTTGCAGGCTTTTCTCATTTAAACGATTTCCTCAGTAAGGCCAGGACAGAAGTAAGACACAACACCACACCTTCCCAATCCTGCACCTGTGAGCTAATAAACCCTTCGTTAGTGAGGGAGATTGTGCAGAGGCTACGGGACGGCTGATAGCCGATATGGCTCTATCTGCGGCCGTCCACCACGTCGGTGCTGGGGAACAGCGAGAGCGGATCCCCACTGTCCCAGGAGAACCCCGATCTCCTGAGGGAGACAGGGGCGCCAGGAAGGGTAGGGGCCGCTAAGAAAGAGAAACGCCTCAGCCGCTCCCACAGGTAAGGTCGAAAGGCAGCTGCCGTGTCGGGGCAGCGCTACCGTCCCCCGAGAGCCGGGGGTATGCTGCGGAGCAAGGAAGACCTTTGCTCCCAGGCGGTGCTCCGGTCCACCTCGCTCCGGCCCTCCCGGCAAGGAAGGCGGAGGGGGCCCGGCCCGGGGAGAGTTTACATTTACCTGCAAGGCTCCCGCCCGAGAGGCTGGTGCAGAGCAGCAGCAGCAGCAGGCGCAGCAGGCAGCGGCCGGAGAAGGTGGCAGGCATGGTGCCCCCGCCGCGCTCACTCCGCCGGGCTCCCCTGGCTCGGCTCAGATCCGCACCCCGCGGGCTGCACCACCTGAGGAAGCCTCAAGTGGGCCGGAGCAGCTTTACGGGAGAGCTGGCTACTCCAGCAACGACGGGGCTCAAATGCAAAGCAAAGCTACTCCAAATTCACTTCGGACGGAAAAAAAAACAGGCCAAAAACCCCCCACCGGGAAGGCGCTGCTGCTACAACCGCTGCCCTCTGCGTGAGGATGTGGTCAGCAGCGGGCCGGCCGCGCTTTAAGCGGCGGAGGAAGGGCGGGGGCGCGCACCGGTGCCTAATTAGACAGAGGCCCTGGCGCCCGAGCCGCGCAGGCGACCCCCGGGGCGGTGGGAGCCTGGCGGGGCAGTGCGGCACAGGGCCGGGACTGGTGTTTGGCCCAGAGGGGCCCTGGCTGCGGGACCGCCCGGGCAGGAGGGACGCGCCGCAGCAAACGGCTCCGGCCGGGCTGCGCAGGGAGGATTGCCTCGGGCAGAGCCTGCCTGTCCCTGCCCTTTGCCTGGTGATCCTCTGGAGAGCCCAGCTTCGAGGGTCACTGGCTCCAGGACAGCTGGGTTGTACTGTATAGGAGCTGCGACTCTTTTGCATCCCTAAGTCTCCCGCTGCTTTTACAGCAGTGACTAGGGAGCGCAATTTCTAGCAAAAGCTCCTCAAGTTTTTGATTATGGCTGAGTGAAATTGTTTACATTTTGTTTCTGTATACATGTGTGCTTACCTAGTAAGCCCGCTCATATGTGTGTATATATATTTATATATGTACATTATATGCACTTCTGTTTCTTGCTTGGTAAATAACTGAATTCTGATAGTGCGAAATGAACTCCAGCAAGGTGGCATTCTCTGAAGGAATAACTTTCTTCCTTCTTGTCAGCTTCAGCTAAGGCAGAGGTTGAGTTGTGTAAGAAGTTTATATCAGTACAAAAAGGTCACTGCAAAAAAGCCTTTCCATCATCTGAACTCACCATGCTGATAGAGCTGTAAGAGTTTATGTAAATTCCCCATGTGTTGGTTTTCCAGCACTAGACATGTTCATGCTTCCATCCATATTTTCCAATAAAAGTATGGTGGCCTTTGGAATGAAATTTTCTTTCATAAAAACTCCAAATAAATACTACTAATGACAAAAGACTGGGAATGGGACTGTTTCATTAGGGTCTTTGCTGTGTATTCAGAACTCACAATGCAATGTGCTATGAGGAAAGATTGAACCTCCCCATGCTTGTTAATCTGCCAGCCTGCTAAAATGCACAGAATGATGGGATTCAGAGAGAGAATCCAATTCAGATAAAGCTGTTTAGGAATAGTAGATGGTCTTCAGCTTTTAATAGGAAAAAAACTGGCTGGCACTTGAAAGCTGTTTTATCTGAACCAGTTAGGACTGAAGAGACTTGTCTCTTGGTACTGGGGGAGAGTGAGAGAAAGGAGAGAGAGAAGGGGAGGAAAAGAGAGGGAGAGGCAGAGGAGAGAGGAGTGTCAACTGCCTAAAGATATGAAAGGACTGGTTTATAGGTCTAGTTAACTCTCCCTGGAATAGGTGAAGGGAAAACTTTATATTCACTTTATTTAGCAGTTGGGTGTGCAGCACTTTTTGGTGAGACATATTTTATCTACCCAGAATCAACATGGATTGGTTGGTAGAGATGTATGACTAAACACTGGGGGCTGGCACAAGTGGATCTGCTAGGGCAGTCCTATCTAGAACCTAGCTGTAGCTTTGTCAGCTCTTGCTAAATGGAAACTGTGGAGGTTCAGATGGAGACAATTTGTTTTGAATGACTAGGTGTTTAGTCCTTTATACGACTGGACTATCTTTTCCACCAAGTTAACTTTGGTGAGCATCAGAAGACATGATGAACATCTTTGCAGGGTTTCATCTTAGCTCATCTGCTAATGGTACATTCCCACGCTTACTTAATGCTGAATTGAAAGAAAGCAGTTATTAAACTGCTGCTGAGGGAGCTGGTTTTTCCTATACTCATGGTATGAGATACAGGAGATACAAATGAAAATATGAGAATGGAACAATAAAGAGAAAAACAAAGGCAAGAGGAAGGATGGCAGAAGGAAGGCAAAAAAGAAGAAGAATTTAGAGGAACTGGTCAAGCAAACCAAACAGCCCTCTAAGGGTTTCCATGTTCCAGTGTTTGCCTTAGCATTATAATATGATTAGATTAGATTACTAGATTAGATTATTTACTAAGAATTCCAGCTGTATTTGGTTAGATCGTTGAAAGAGGGAGAGGTTTAAGAAATTATAAGGTTACTGATAACAATGGTAAAGTAGAATATTTGTGAAATCAACTATTAGCTTGCATTTGGAAACATTTTCTGGCCAGTAATCAGAAATTTCAGGAAAAGTATTTAAATTTTACATACCAAGTCAAATCTACTCCATTTATTAATCTGCAGCATATTTTCCTCTTCTCTCACTTCCACAGAGAAACTTGGACTTATTCTCACATGGTAGTTACTTGGCAAATGTGACAGTTGTTTTGGAACGAGAATTCATTTATTAATCTACTCCATTTATTAATCTGCAGCATATTTTCCTCTTCTCTCACTTCCACAGAGAAACTTGGACTTATTCTCACATGGTAGTTACTTGGCAAATGTGACAGTTGTTTTGGAACGAGAATTCATATGTTGCCCCATACTCTGGCTTATAAAATACCTTATATTTATTGAAACCTCTGATACAGGGAAATTGCTGGTTTATTCAGCTGATTCAGGAAGATCTTTGTTGAAAATTTTCATGGCAAAAGGAAAGTAAATGAAACTCTGAATACTGATATATGTTGATTATTGTAATTTGTACTTTTACATCTCATTTTCTGTAAAATCCAAATCCTGTTCTCAAAGCCCAGTCTTTGGCTTTCATTTATTTATGTTAAAAACTGGAACAGTAGAATAACCAAAGGATGTATGTGATCCAGCAGTTTTCTTGGTTGGAGGTTTGCTTTTCATAAAAACTACTCAAAATTGTGCAAAGGTAACTGATGTATATGTCAGAAGAACTGTGAAAAAAGAAGGAAACAAACAAAATGGACTTAAAACCACTTAAGGTGGAAGTTGACTTCAGGGATGGTGCTTAGCAGCTGTCAATATCTGAAGCTGAATCGTCAAGACCTTATTAAACTTTAGCTAGATTTTTTTTTATGGGCATGACATTTTTAATTGTAAAAGCATGAAAATAAACAGTAGTAAATAGGAGAAGCAATTTAGAATTACTTTAGAAATAAGTCTTGCAAGCTGTCCAGGAAATAATTTTGCATGGTGAAATTATGGAGATAATGTGTTACTAAACTGTGGATCACTTTCAAAAGGATGTGCTGAAATAGGTGTTATGCAACACAAGCTTTGGGGAATTAGTTCTCCATTCTATGGTAACAGTCAGATTATAATAAAATTTTTAGAAAATGGTGCAAAATGTCCTTGTTTCTAAGAGCCAAAGTAATATACTGAGAGCTAGTACAAAACTACAAAGCAGAATTTTATTGTCTCCTTCAAACATTTATCTTTTGCTTGCTCTCTTTTAAGGATTTAACTAAACAGAAGTCTTGTCTGGATTTAAAATTATAGGCCAGTTTATGCAATCTGCATACTCTGCAGCTGCCTTCTCTTCACTGTCTGCATCCTGCTGAGTGGCTGTAAATCCAAATATCTCCTGCTACCTCCTTGAAGACAATCTGCAAGATTAAGCATATAACCTCTATTGAGAATTCTCCCATTTATCAAATGTTTAATATTGTGTTCTAGGGTCAGAGCTATATATGAAACAAAAATTAGTGCTATAGTGCTTTAGGATCATATTTTTTGAAAATCCTAGGTTGCTGCCAGTGCCAATTATTGAGATTGTTGATACTGATTATCAATACTGTCAATACTCAGTTGTTACTGTGCAGGGTTGCAGATTAGGCAGTAAAGGCTTTGTCCACATGGCAAAAACACCATCATAAGGAACTGGCATCCAAAAATTCAAGCCAGATTTTTGGCAAAGAATTCTTTCTGCCTACCAGTCCCCTGCTTTCTGATATCTGAAAAAAAAAAAATTAAAATGAAAATATAATGAAAAAGCAGTACTTTATTGAAAACACAATTTAAATTGCAGCTGTACGTACAGACAAGAAATGTCTACAATCTGTTAGTTTAATGTAGAATTAAAGTTCACTGTGATACAAATGGATACCACCTTATCACAGGGTTTGCTTTGCAAGCTGTGCTTCAAAATTTGCAGAAGATATTTTAAGTGACTCAAACGCGATCAGACTTCAAGGGAGGAAGGGAGGCAGTATCCTTCATTGCAGTAATATACCTGTAAAAAGTAAGGCAACCTCTAATACAATTTGAGAACAATTACTCTAAATCTGAATGCAAATTGAGAACAATTACTCTAATTGTAATTATGATGAATGCACACAGGTGAGTCTCACCTACTGCTTTAATATCAGCATGAAGATCACCTTTGATAAGTCTTTCTTTTTCACAAATTCACCATTTTCTAACCTTTCAGACTTTTAAAAACAGCCTCTCTTCTGTGGCAACAATAAAAAATAATGAGAATTTTATATTATAAATTAAGGTATCCTCCATTCTGCTGCAGTACTTGCTAAATTATCACCAATAAGCAGGAGCACTAAATGTTTGAAGAACCAGGCCTTACTTATGTGATGGAATTTGGGCTACTTTGGGCTCCTGCTCTGGGGTAATCAACGTGTGAAAGTTTTCTGTTTCTTGTGGGTATGGTAACAGAGTATAGACTTTTTCTCATACAAATTATGTGTTCTATGGTTTTCCTGGGCTGTGGGGAGGTTTGTAATTTGTTTGGGGTTTGGTTTTGGCTTTTTAATTTGACAGAAACTCAGTTTCATCAATTTTTTTAAAACTTTTTTTTTAAATTCGGAAATATGTTTGTAATTCTGGAGATAAAACCTGAAGATAAGGCAGCATAAAATAAGTAACAAGTTAAGTGGCATAAGCCTTCCCTGGTAGAGGGAAATAATCAAGTTAAATATCACTCCATTTATTTATGAACAAACTTCAGCAAACTTTAGAAAGTCTGACAGCATCCTTTTACTTAGAACATTTTTGCCTTTAGTTTTTATGTATTATTTTAGAAGGGGGAAAGAGGGCTTCAGTGAAAAATAGTGAAGAAAGCTATGTAGATAAAAGTGTTATTTGTCATTCCAAAACCATGAGACTTTAAACAGCTTTTATTAGTCTTTTGTCATTTAATTATTTTGTCTCTTAAATGAAAGCTAAGCATTTTGTTTTTTGCTCTAATGACAGGACTTCTGCTCCCAGTAAGGGAGCAGAAATAAGAAAGATGAAAAAGGTTGAAAACCATAAGACAATCTTCAGCACTTTTACTGACTACAGAGCCGTCATAACCAAAGAACTGAAGTTAAAACTTTGCAGAAGGCAGGTAAGAAATGCCCCTGTCCTCATCACCAC